GATATAATAAAAATCAGTGGAGGGCCCATGATGCAAATGCTATTGGGAAACTGGAAGTTTCCCATCACAACAGTTACATCACCATTTTGACTCTCAATATGATCGAATTAGAATTCAGGTTTCGTTTTCGCCCCTTATTATAATACCATAAACTGGGATTTAGTGGCACAGACATTCGCCCCTTATTATAATACCATAAGCTAGGATTTAGTGGCACAGACATTCGCCCCTTATTATAATACCATAAGCTAGGATTTAGTGGCACAGATATTCTCCCCTTATTATAATACCGTAAGCTAGGATTTAATGACACAGATATTCGCCCCTTATTATAATACCACAAGCTAGGATTTAGTGGCACAGACATTCGCCCCTTATTATAATACCATAAGCTAGGATTTAGCGGCACAGACATTCGCCCCTTATTATAATACCATAAGCTAGGATTTAGTGGCACAGACATTCAACCCTTATTATAATACCATAAGCTAGGATTTAGTGGCACAGATATTCGCCCCTTATTATAATACCGTAAGCTAGGATTTAATGACACAGATATTCGCCCCTTATTATAATACCATAAGCTAGGATTTAGTGGCACAGATATTCTCCCCTTATTATAATACCGTAAGCTAGGATTTAATGACACAGATATTCGCCCCTTATTATAATACCATAAGCTAGGATTTAGTGGCACAGACATTCGCCCCTTATTATAATACCATAAGCTAGGATTTAGCGGCACAGACATTCGCTCCTTATTATAATACCATAAGCTAGGATTTAGTGGCACAGACATGCTGCTGCCATTATGTATCTCAGTATTTCTAAGGGCATCTGATATTGAATCCATATTCCACCGATGGAGCATTGCATCCAATATCAAAACTCTTGGCAACCCTTGCTACGCTATTTGATCAACACGTTTGAGAGAGAGAGAGAGAGAGAGAGAGAGAGAGAGAGAGAGAGAGAGAGAGAGAGAGAGAGAGAGAGAGAGAGAGAGAGAGAGAGAGAGAGAGAGATTCGTGGTGCAAACAGCTGACCATAACGAGCAACAACAAATTATTTACTGCGAAGGTTACAGTAATCGTATCATATATCTATTACCAAACTATAATTCCAATTTGTATAAATTGAACGCGTTTTCTGCAATTTGATTGAATGTAAGCTATCATGTGAGAAAAAGCTGGATATTTTGCACATCGATAAATTCTGCGGACTAGGTTTGTTTTTCTATTTCCACGTCATTTTGAAGTGACGTGTTATCTCTACCAACTCATTAATTCCTAATGACATCAACAATAACTCTCCCACCCACTCCTGTGATTTCCAATCAGTTTACAAACCACGGATTCAATTAGGACCATTATAAGTTATAACAATGTAACTTCACAGACCTTCCAGTACTCCACCGCTCATCCTTTCTGCCTACGAAGGCATGTGATAGGCTTTACAAGACAATCTTCGGAAATTATTGCATTTCACCTGGACAACATGTTACAGCAGCGGTTATTTAAGGTCAGGGTCATGTGTCAAACAAGTGATCTCACTAAAAATGGACACGATTTTGCTTTTGAAAGATTGAGGTGCATAGAAAGTAACAACGTTGTTATAATAACACGTGCAATACACAAGCGTAATTTTCGAGGAAAAAGGAATAGCCTGGTTTAACCGCAACAGCCATTTTTGTATATTAAAATAATTATCATAACAACGTATACTCACCGACATGAACCGCTATGACATTCTAGCCCATATTACAGTATAAAGTATCGACGAATTTTGGCCAGCGAAGATCGGGCTATGTATTATATCGCTGTTATGAGGCTAATGAAAACAAACTTCGATCTTCAAAGTGAAGGTTTTGTTGATTAAATATGATGATATAATGTTAGAAAGGAAGCAAATCGGAATTATAAGGATTAAATGATCATAGTTGGGTATTTATCGATGTGCAAATTTAACCTAATCACTCACAAAGCAAGCAAATTGTACTTCCGATTTTATTTGCTTTGTGAGTGATTAGGTCAAATTTACACATCGATAAAATTTTAACCATGATCATTTAATCCTATAATGAAAGTATTATCGAATACGGCTGGTTAATTCTCATTCTTCACTTACCAAACAATTCAGTTGATAATTAAAATTTAAACCCTGGATAGAAGTAAAGATGGAATGTTTTCTGATGGTAATTGATTTTAACGTTTGCTTTTTCTTTAGTAAAATTTACAAATCATATCTGTAATAATGGTAAGAATTTACAGAAACAAAATCCATAAGTGCCAACTGTACATTGGTGTAAACGTCTGTACAAACTGGACATTTAAAACAAAACGACTTAGTTCAATTGTATGATATCAAATGGAGAAAATCACAATGAATACGTATAATGGTTTGAAGACGAGGTAAATTATCTCTTAAAAAAGTAATGCATGCACAATGTAATATTTGACAGATAATGCAATATATAGTTAATATATCTATCATGGATAAATACGAGTTATTGTATCGACTAACATTCATTTTGGATATCTGGATTATAGTTCGTTATGCATCGGTATGTTGCACTGCATTAAACAAAATAGATGGTTTATTTACACAGCAAGTGTTTCAATTTGCAAATCTGGGTCATTAGCTATTATTAATATTGACTTGTCTGCATTAAATAAGAGAATTACGTGAATATTTTCGATAATAATCGAACAGTACATAAAAAATAGGAATCCATATAAGATTTAAAAACATAAATAGTGACTCTTTTCGTAGTCTACTGGTATAGCTTAATAAAACTTGTGTAAAGGTGGTGAGCGTATCTAATGCACAACTCGTGGGTTGCGGGTTCAAATAATGATCAGGTTATCCGTAGTGCATTTGCTGTGCACGTCACTTTATATTTCTTGCCTGGGCACTAAATGATCTTTCGTGTCCTGATGTAATAACAGACATGTAGTTGATCTAAGAAACGTAAAAAGGCATGACAGAAGTAGACTGGAACCATATCACTGTTTCATGTGATATGCATATCCAAAACGGTGTACATGATCAGTGACATTTAAAATAACATTAAACATAACAAGCTAATCGTTCGTGTATTTAATATTAAAATCATTATTAATTGTAAAATGTTTACTGCAATTTGAGTTAAAGACACAGATTGGTACCTTGGAAACTTCCAAAATAGAAATTACCTATTAAGTTTCGAGAAGATTTCAATAAAATGATAATAATTGCGATCTAAGAATAGAGTCGTATATAATCTTGCTTGATTGTTTGATTGAGATTTTTTCATTCATGGCTTAACATCTGTCTTAACATATACATCAGAAACAGTCTTATTACTGTGTTCAATTTATTATTCAATGTAATGACAAAGTGCCAAAATAATAATCTTGGACAAAAATATTAATTTGGAATTGTGGTGAATTCAAACAAGGACTACGGAAACATCAATACATTTAGTTTTAAAGTTTATCTAGAATAACACTGGAATTCAAATGGAACTTCATACAAATCTGGAATAACACTGGAATTCAAGTGGAACTTCATACAAATCTGGAATAACACTGGAATTCAAGTGGAACTTCATACAAATCTGGAATAACACTGGAATTCAAGAGGAAGTTCATACAAATCTGGAATAACACTGGAATTCAAGAGGAACATCATGAATTTGGACTTTTGATTGAACTTTTAGAATTATTAGTTATGTAATTCACAATACTTTAGTTTCTTTCCAAAGTTTAACTTTGCGTTCTATGGGAATAAATTACTTGATGAATTTTACAAACCTTGTTAGTTTTCACTCTTTTCGTTCCTAGTAACACATTAAAGCATATTTCCACATTCATAATATTAGAAGGAAATATTACATATCAAAACATTAAGGTTACAAATCTGGAAACCTTTCATTATGAAAGCTAATTTGCTAAAAACTAGAGAAGATGGAACTGTAAAGGATGAAAATCGAAAATGCCTGTATCCCTGAAGCAACATTTTTCAGCGATTTTTATTATTATTATTATTATTATTATTATTATTATTATTATTATTATTATTATTATTATTATTATTATTATTATTATTATTATTATTAGTTTATTTACTACTCCCGCTTTAGAGTCTTGAAGATTAGTACTTGAGCTTGAGAATGATTTTAAAGTGATGAAACACTATTTTAATAACGAGTTTACAAAGTCTCGAGTTCGAAAATTAATTTTATAAATAAGTTGACACTATTTTCTGACCCAATATAAATTATTTTTTTTTAATCCTTCCCTTTTGTGATTTTTCCCTGCTGCAACTCCTATATGTTTTCTTCCTCTTGACGCCATATGAGTTGGATAGGAATAAAAGGGTAGAAAATACCAATAATCCTTTGTGATAAGGACATCATCTTTAATTCTGGATTGGAGAACAAGTTTTAAATAAACAAATGTGAATATGTATCACAATTACCCTTATACAAAACGTATCAATAATTTAACCAACTCGATAATAATAATCTTAAACTTAAAGTATTTCTTCACAAAGAAAGAAATGGATTATGCAATAACATTTAAACCCTAATGCCGCCGATGTCATAACTTTCACCCTTCTTCCAATTTATCTAAAGGTTGGAAGATTGGAAATGATTCGAGAAAATGAGCTGAGATAAGCCTATCTTTTAAATAATCAAGATATTAGGTTAAACAAGGTTCAAATATTCAGTTTAGAATTTAGAGGAGTCATCCCTTAATTCAGCTCACGAAAGGGTTCACAATTTATTCTTTTTCGGAAGTGCTACAAACGGAGTAATCACACTTTCGATAAATTCCGATAGTGCCTAATCTAATAACAACCTAAGGGCGCACAAAGTGATTCGAGAGGGAATGAAAAGCCCATCCCGCTTTTCTGAGCGGATCTGACCATGTATTAGATAATTTTGACTGGTGAAAATTGGTGATCACCTGTGGTACTTTGGAACGTGAAGGTGGGTTGAAGATAATCCGACGTAGCGTGGTGTTGACGTATCTTAGTGGTTAGAGCATCCTCCTCGGATGCGGGAGGTCGTGGGTTCGCTTCCCAGATGAGTGATACCAAAGACTTACAAAAATGGTAATAACAGCTTCCTCGCTTGGCGTTCAGCATTAAGAAGCTAATGTTGGGACTGGTCGGCTTGGTGTGAATAATGAATAAAATAGTCAGAATAATGTGACTGGGTGGGACATCATGTTACATGTCTGCGGCATGATGTCCCAGTGCTAGACATCACTATAAACTGCCACACTGTAGACATTGTAGGGATATGACTAAAAAGTTGTTGAAGCTACATTTAAAAAATCCCCCAAACAAACACAAACTTATCTTTACAACGGCGTTGTCATCAAACCTTGTGTTCAGTCTTTGACTGAAATAGGGTTACCCATGAATTTCGCCCATCAGCATCGGATTAATTTGTGCACGTGTGAAAATTGGCAGGGTTCTCAGTTCGAGGGAGAAATTACATGGCTCGCATTGTGATTTCACGTCGATATTATCTGGATTTTACAGAACCCATCTATGTTAAGGAAAGACATTTATCTTGATTCAGTATTATTCACATGAATTGCCATATACGACTTTCTGCAGGTAACAGCAGCATTAGGACTTTAAACGAAATATATGTTAAATGAAATGAAATCAACAGAAAAAAATGAACAAGTACAGCACACAATAAATTGGACATTTCGAAAGCATTTTCTGGTGTTTTGATAAATATACCTGTTTTCAGAGAACTTGCATAAATAAAAATTTACTGCTTTACATGACTTTGATCCTTAACAGCGCTAATTATTTTTCACGGCCATGCCCTATGTTTCATCTCTCTCTCTCTTTCTCTCTCTCTCTCTCTCTCTCTCTCTCTCTCTCTTTCACACACACACACACACACACACACACACACACACACACACACACAAACACACACACACAAACACACACACTTTCGAGTATGAAATGCATAAAAATAAAGGGATGGCCATATTTATCCCGTGAAAATCTCATGCTCAATTACAAGGCCAACGCCACTTATATTACCAAATTTTAGCTAGGTTTCATTAGGAAAGCAAAGTTTTATGATTAGCCTAACCAAAATTAAAGAGTTAAAATAGAAATTAGCATCCTAGTGATACAAGCAGGACATACCTACCAACAGACGTGTCATGAAAGTAAAACGCAGATTTATATTTTAGCTCTCGGATGGTATTGACACAAAACATAAATGTTTCATGGCACAAAAGAAAAGATCTACGTCAAAAGACCAAATTCATCCTTCAGATTATCAAACGTAACATACAGATCCTTGGAATCTAATGAAGCCTTCTGTATTTGAAAGTTGCCAGGCAACGAAAACAGAAAAGGACAAACATCTAGTTTTGTGTAGAAACAAGCGTGATACCTAATGCTCTTTTGGCTGAAATAATGAGGAATACACTGCTTAGGTATGAGACAATAATCATTTTTTTAAGTAAACCACTATATTGTTGTTATGTTTATTTTAAGTCACCCATAGTTTCGAGAAGAAATATTTTGACACAGCATTGAGGAACTGTATTTTCTTTCTTCTTCTTAAGCTAAGTAATAGAAATGATCGAAAACCAAATATTTTGTAAAATTCAACAAATTATTTATTTCTCTAGAACACAAAGTAAAAAATGGCCATAGGGTATTGTGAATTAAATCCCCAAAAATCCTACGATTTCTAAAACAGGTCCTAGTTATAAAGTTCTGAATACACTTCAGTGATATTATAAAATAAACCCAAATCAGGAAGTGCCGAAGTGCCTGTGATGGCATGTATTGTAGTTATGCGTCAACAATCTTTGATTGAATCACAATAACACAATCCAGAAATATATCCTTATTTGGACTTTAACTATACATCCAAGTCTTTGTTTCCAATAATGTTATTTTTAAGCACTTTGTATTTCCAGAAAAGAATAACTTGAACTAACAAATTTGAATACATACAATCCAATCTAAATGAAATATAATGATATAACAATAATACTAATGATTATGCTCAGATCTTACGAATGAATATATGTTAGATAAACAAGATTATATCATCCTCTGCTTGACTTCAGGTTACAATTAGTATTTCTAAAAAAAAGTATTATTACCTAAAGAAAAATTTTAATATGGAAGATCTGTTACACAAATTATAATATAAAATGTGGTAAATTCTAGAAGGTATGTTACAAAATAATAAATACAAATGTGGTAAACAACAGGCAGGCCTGACATCTCACAAGAAATTTCCAATGTTCTGGACTCAAATTAACATAAACATTCTGTTTACAAAGATAAAATCATGGAGTCAGGTCAGGTAGAAAGTGAATTTGGTTATGGATATCTTATCGATGCGATATAACGAATAAAAATATATCAAACAGTGCAAAACAAATTAAATATACATAACACTTCTTTTTTATTTACTTGTTTGGTGGATTAAAATAAACCAGCGAAACATATGAAATGAAACTTCTCTCGTTCATATTGTAGTGTGATTGGTGTAATGTCTATTACACGATATCGTATTGTAAATTGTATTCCGTAGGGGAGACATGTTGTCGCACATAATTTTGTATTGGTATAACGAAGACACGATTGTGTATTTTAAAGTCAATGAGGAAAAAAGTTCCTGAGAGAAAAGATACTTGTTCCGTCTGGTCTATTTTGCATTACTCATTGACTCAGACAATATTAAGGATATACAGAATAATAAAAGGAAAGGGGATAAAACACTTAATTATGACAAACAGGGTTTGTTAACAAAATCATTCTTCTTAGACAAAAAGTTGGATTGTAAAAAATATACTATTAATTTAATCAAAACACATTTAGATCTGAATGATTACTACAGGTGGTATATACTGAACAGCAGCTAGTTATCACGTATTTCTACTCCATGATTTCTACAGATGGTATATACTGACAAGCTAGAGTTATGAGGTATTTCTACTTGATGATTTCCACAGAATCAATTATTAAATAAGGTTTAACTATATAATCAATAATTGAACCAGCAATCGCACATAGATTGTCTAGCGGGATTTCGCATTGAGTTTACTTCCGACATCACTCAGAGAATGTCTAGTGGGAGTTTGCATTGAGTTTACTTCCGACATCACAAAGAGAAAGGCTAGTGGGAGTTTGCATTGAGTTAACTTCCGACATCACACAGAGAATTTCTAGTGGGAGTTTGCATTGAGTTTACTTCCGACATCACACAGAGAATGTTTAGTTGGAGTTTGCATTGAGTTTTCTTCCGACATCACACAGAGAATGTCTAGTGGAAGTTTGCATTGAGTTTACTTCCGACATCACACATAGAATGTCTAGTGGGAGTTTCCTTTGAGTTTACTTTTGACTTCAATTTATCCCTATCAATAAAGATCAAGAATGACGACTACTTCGTCGTTATTGGTACCAACTGAGTGTTAGTTCAAGAATAGATGACATCTACTTCATCGTTATTGGTATCAATTGAGTATATTTTCCAGTATAGATGATATCATTTTAATTGTTCTTGGTACCAGCTGAGTATTTGTTCAAATATAGACGAAACCTGTTTTTGCGTGACTAGTACCAACTTCTGAGTATTTGGTCAAGTATAAATGTCAGTTTCTACTGAAGGAAGACAAGTCCCGCAGTAACACTTTCCGACTGATGAACAGATAAAGTACACTGAATTATACTATTTACAGCACGAATAGATGGTCAGTGACGGACAAGGGTTATTGAAATTCTTCAATCTGGCATTTAACAACCATACATATTGATCGATCAAACTATTGTGCAAATATGGAAACCTTGTTGGTGTAATGTAACAGGGGATTTAATCACGTTGATTCATGTTGTAAGTGTGGCATTTCAGATGTATAATATACTTGACTTTGTTGAATAGCACGAAAAAAATGCAAACTTTCAAAGGAAACAAGGGCATGGTTATGCTTCTATTTTTCCAGTTAGTTGTTGTCCTCTACTTGGCACCAACAGAAGGATTCCAACAGGAGAGTAAAATAAATAGTTGTTGAAGTGTATAATTTGAAAACTAAGGTTACGAGAAGTTCAAAACAAATTTTTGCAATGTCTTTTATCATAGGTCAGAAGGCCAGTCTTTGATATGACATTTAGAAGCTTAAGAGAATTATCAGTTTTAACAGAGTATAGAATTCAGGAAGCACTACATTATTACTCGTCCAGTTTCACCTAAATATGAATCGCGAGTCCCATAAACTAAACATTATTTAAGTACCATTTGGGTCTTCATGAGTCCCCGTGCTTCCATAACCTAGAAAAAAAATTAGGATGACGTTCTTTCATTTGTGCCGCCTCTACATAAGGCAGTTTTTACTGTCAACGACGTAGGTGTATTGTACACTGGCTTCAACAGAATAGAGCTGATACATAATTTTGAAATAGCATCTGAGAGCAAAAATCATGAGTAATATCGAATGCATATTAGCATAGATGCATGATTTATACGTCTGGTGACTACGTCTGCTTTATACATCCAAACAGTAGTTACATACATACATACATACATACATACATACATACATACATACATACATACATACATACATACATACATACATACATACATACATACATACATACATACATACATACATACATACATACATACATACGCACGCACGCACGCACGCACGCACGCACGCACGCACACACTCACACACACACACACATACATACATACATACATACATACATACATACATACATACATACATACATACATACATACATACATACATACATACGCACGCACGCACGCACGCACGCACGCACGCACACACTCACACACACACACACACACACACATACATACATACATACATACATACATACATACATACATACATACATACATACATACATACATACATACATACATACATACATACATACATACATACATACATACATACATACATAGGGACCTTACGTCAAGCAGATAAGGGATGCATGAAAGTCTTGAAGATAAGTAGCAGTTGACTGTCACTATCCTTGTGACCCATAGGGGCTCTAATCA